ATAGGTTTATGTGCCCTACAGGAAAGAATGTGTCCATAACCAGTACTGTATATTTGTGTCTCCTCTTATTAAATTCCTTCAATGAAAAAATGTCTATAATTTATTGTATTCTTTTTCAACCTTCTCGTAGAAGGAATTCTTCCCTTAGTCAAATCTTAATAAGGATTGTGATACTTCAGAACCCAAATCTCAAGATATACGGAGGACCACAAACCCATCACAATAGTCAGGCACTGTGACAGAATCTAAAAACCGTCTCATAATATTCTCTCTGTGTATTACTCTTATATATCTTTACAGTTTTTGAATGTAGATATAGTATGTATAAATTGAATAAGGAACATTTGAGTAGAGGTTTATGGTTTAGAAATTATTTTTCACGTTATTTCAATACTCATATTACCATCCTGAGAAAGATACCTACAATTTTCTCTGCCCAGTGTTTTTTCCTATTTCTTTTCTTGTGGTACCAATAGCTGTCTTCCTGTTTCCTTAGGGAAATCCCTGCCTTGCTCACATGGTTCCTGTTAATCACAGTCCTGTGCTGCCCTCTTGCTACAGAGTCTGGCCAATCGAAACAACCACCCTCACCGTCCTATTCACAGTGACCGTTAAGAAATTGCATGTGATTCCAGTGGGCCCTGTAGGAGTTCTCCCTGCTGCTTTCCTGCAGAAATTTGATGTAGAGAAAAATGTCCTCTTGCTTTTGGGGTCGTGCTGCTAGATGGATATTAATTTGGAGCTGCTTTGAAAATCCAAGTTCTCTAGAGTAGGATAGAATGAGGTCAAAATGTTGAGCTGAACATAAATGAAATAAAGAGATAAGAATTACTTATTGGGTTGCAGTCCTGAATCCAGCCATATTTGATCTGTGCTTCATGAGCTAATTTTCTTTTTCTTTAAGGTAGTTTAAGATGCGTGTCATTGTTCCTTCAAGCTGCTATGACAAAGTACGATACACTGGTGAATTATAAACAAATTTATTTCTCACAATTCTGGAGGCCAGAAAATGAGATTAGGTGCTGGGGTGGCTGATTTCTGGTGACAACTGTCTTCCAGGCAGCACATGGCCAACCTCTCATTGTACCGTCACAGGCAGAGAGCCGGGAAAAGAAGCAAACTCTGGCGACTCTTATTAAGGGCACTAATATCATACCTGAGGGCTCTACCAAAATAGCCTTGTCTAATCATAAATTTATCTCCCCAAGGCCCCACCTCCTAATACCATCACATTGGGGAGTAAGGTTTCAACATTTGAACTTGTAGGGGAGGGATACAAATATTCAGTCCATAACAGTGGATATTTTTTTTTACTTGCAACCCAAAGAATTTTCCTAATTATAGATATTTTTGCCTTGTTTTACAGATTAAAAACTGAGATTCTGTGAGATTAAGTAACCAGTCTGTATCTGTACATAATGGGGAGGCTCGAATAAATCCAATTCTCATTTCAACTAATCACCTTGTCTGCCAATTACCATGCTGCTCACGAATAGACATCTTTTGGTGTTTTGGGTTTTGTTTTTTTTTTTAGTTGTTTTTGTAGTTTTGTCCATCTGTCTTCCTTCCTTCCTTCCTTCCTTCCTTCCTTCCTTCCTTCCTTCCTTCCTTCCTTCCTTCCTTCCTTTCTCTCTTTCTTGCGGCTGACCTTTTTATTTCCCTAAAAACAGCTTGCTGACCTGACTGTATAAGGCTTTCTGCTCATGCCCTAGCACTTGGGTGATATCTGTGTAGCTACCTGGCTCTGTTGTGACACTGTGCTTGTCCTCCTTCCTCCAGACCAGATCCCCATGCTCCAGTTCTTCCTCTCAGAATAGGCCATCACATCTCCCAGGCTTGAGTCATATGAAATCTGGTTCTGAAGATGACTGGGATGGATTCAAGATGGCCATTTTATTTTAGAATGGAACAGCTCTATTGCAGAGTGCAAAGATACCCTGCAGTGGACAGGTGAAGGTGGAAGAAAGGATTCTCCTATTTATTTCAACATGTGTTGCTTGCCCTACCTGTCCCTAGAAAGCCCATCCTGTGAGCCCAAAAGGCAAAAGACAAAAAAAAAAAAGGGGGGGGGTGCTTAAAAAGTACTGCCACATTTTTTGAATAAGAAAAGGAAAAAGTAATGTGATCCTTTAAAAGTTCAGTAAGGTAACATTTCACGATTCAGCTTTGCTGGAGAAATAGCTGCTCCATAGTGAATTTTAAGGAGATATTTTAAGCAGCAAAAGCCTTATAAAAACATATTTTGACCATTATAAGATGTAAATCCTTCTAAGATTTTTGCACTGTCTCCTGCTTTGCTCTCTGACTCAGAACGCTCCTAATGTAAACCATTTCCTTAGAGTCCTGGGGGGTTGTTATTGATAATTTCTGATGATCACACAACATAGTGTTCCGTGCTTTTTTATAATTCAATCTGCTTTTTATATATTAATTTTCCTTTGTATTTTAAGTGCTAATTTTCTCTACCAACTACTCCTCCTTATGACTGTTAGTATGTTGTTTGCTGTTGCTCTAAATCTACTCTCATATTTTATACATATTCTGCATGAGACCTGCCTCTAGCCTCCTCTGTGGAGTAGGGGATGAAGAATTCGTGGCAGCTTTTTCTCTCTGACCACAAACATATCTCTTCCATTTACCTCTGTTGCCTCAAGACAGGCTTGGACACAAAGCACCATGAGGTCCCAGGGAGAGAAAGAAAGCAGAACTTGGCTAAAGGCCTGCTCACGCACTGGCATCTTGCTGACCACTTTTAGTTTCCCAGCGCCCTGCCTTATCTCATTTAAACCTCACAACAAGGCATAGGGCAAAATGTGCCAGGCACTGTGCTAGATGCTTTACACACATCATCTCATTCAGTGCTCTGAACATTCCTGTGCCCCTCACAAGAGGAAGGTTAATTTGAAAATAAAACACAGTATAGTGCCCTGGGCCCTGGGGCAGATTTGGCAACATGATGGAATTACAAGTTCCATCCTAAAAGGCTCTCTTTAACAAGTTCAATTTCCCAGGGTCACAAAGCAAGTGGCAGAACTGAGATTCAGTCCTGATTATTCAGAGGTCATGCTCTTAATCACCATCCCCATGGTCTTAATTCCTTATCTACACCTTGTACTTTTTCCCTCTGCTTAACACAGCAGGTGGCCTTGAGGGCTTCATCTGCCTGACTCCTCCTGCCTCTTCTTCCTCAGGGTGAGAGTCCACTCTCTGTATATTCCACTTACCTACAGAGGATCTCCCTTGGTCCCCAAGAATCCCTACCTGACTCCCATATTGGGCCCTGTAGATGCACCTGCTGTATCCTTTTGACATATTGGCTGAAATAGTTCAGTTGTCCCAGTTATCCAAATTTACATTTACGTAAGTGGGCCTGTCTCTTACCAAGCTCGTCAGCACTGCATATGTTTGAAAATAGGCTATATTATGGATCTGGTCTACAGGAAATGCTCATGTGGATTTGCCGAGCCCTTGCCATAACGTGATGGCCCCCTGGGTATGGATCCACAGGCTGTGATCACTGCCTTGGAACAGCATAATTTCATGGCAGAGAGCCAGGCTCAGCAGTCAAGCAGACTTGGGTTCAAACAATGACTCTGCAAGTCCCTAAGTTCCATGATCTTGGCCATGAATCTCAACTATCACCCCACAAAACTACCTTTCTCTAAGGCTTGTTGTCACATTTAAATGAGATCAGGCATTTAAAATGCTTAGTACATATTATCAAAGCAGCAATCTATTCCTGTATGGGAGTCCATGGTTTGGAGGGTAAAAGGAGGTAAGACAGAAAACTAGGCACCACCTTTAACCACAATGCACTGGATCCTGGGCCGATTTCATAACACAATCTGGAATTACAAGTTGTGTTTCCTAATAAAATCAAAATAAGGACTTGCATTGTCTAGTTGGCGAAGAGAATTACAATCAAGTTATATGATAATAGCCCATACCTCACAGGGCCATTCCATAGGGTGTTATTGCCCCCACCCCATCATGGGCTTCTGTTCAGAATCCAGACCTGGACTTTCAGAAATTCCTCATCTCCTCCAGGTGTGGGTAGTACCACTGTAGCCTCAGGACAGCCCTTCTCCCCCGCTGGGTACTGCCAAGCTCTGCCCCTTCCCACAGACCTTCTTCTCCTTTCACTGTCTCCACACCCTGACCTCACGCCCAGTTCTCCTGAAGGCTTAGGCTTCTATCACAAAAGCCAGGAAGCCATTACAGGCTACTTCTGTCTGGGACTCTGTGCAGACCTGTACCAGGAATGGGGAGCAGAAGATGTGTCTGTGCTTAATGCGGAAGGGAACGTGGAAATGGCACAAAGGGAAATTCCTCTTTGCATACTTAGCCTTTCTCACATGCCTAACATGCATGGCTCTAGTAGAAGGTGCTGTGGAGGATCCAGAGCCCCACAGGTTCATCCTTCCTCACAGGGAAGTCCTGAGATTCTGCCACAGAAACTCCAAGGATCCACCAGGCCAACTAAAAATCACAGATATGGAGAAGAAAGGGCTCGAAGAGATAGAACATTCATTCCGAATCCTTTGGAGGGTGGCCCAATATAACAGCAACTGAATTAAGCATACTTTGTATACTGTATCCCATGTAATCTTTCCATGACCCTAATAAAGCAGGTTCTGCTCTTCCATTCTGTGGATGAGGAAACAAACTCAAAGAGACCAAGTAACTAGTCCATGGTTACCCAGCAAGCAAATATGTAGAGGAGCAAAGATTTGAATCCAGGTCTCTCTGACTCTGTGCTCTGGCAATTACATCTCTTGCTGTAAAGGGATCCTGAATGTATTAAGTCTAAAGAGTAGATGTAGCCTAATGGTTAGATGCGATAAAAGTTTTTTTGGAAATAAACTTTTAAGAAAGTTTTTTTTTTGACTGGGTGACATTACAAATTAATTGTGGGTCCTAACTTAGGTGGTGGGATATGTCTTTGGGTTTGGAGGTAATTCCCACAGAGTCCAGTCAATTTTAATCTGTTTGGATTGCAGACTGTCTGACCTACAAATGAGTGCCAGCATTTAAAAGGAGAATGAAAAGCAGAACGTTACAGTGTCTGTGCAAATCCATTAGCACTGCTGGAAACTGGCTGTGTCCTATAGTAGGTGAGTCACAAGTGTCATTTGTGTATGTTTAACATTCATTCATGCTTCATGGATAAAGCACATAAGTTTCCCATCCGTTTAAAGTAGTAGGGTGCAAACCTTTTGATTAGAATTTCTGTTCTGCTTTTAGCTCTGAGTGTGGCCACAAGCCCCACCCACGATCTTTAAGTGAGCCACTTTGTCAGGCGTCCTCCTTCCTGATTCCTCCTCTCAATTTTCTGCTTACTGGTTTCCAGTGTCCTAAGTTTCTTCCAACCTGTATTAGTTTCTTTTGATGCTGTAACAAATTACCATAAACTTAGTGGCTTAAAATGACACAACTTTATTACCTTGTAATTCTAGAGTTCAGAAATCCAAAAGGAGTATTATGGTGATAAAATCAAACTAATGGAAGAGCTGTTGCCTTGCTTTTGCCAGCTTTCGGAAGCTGTCTTTCATCTTTGGTTTATCGCCCTTTCTTCTTTGGTTTCAATACTTGGCCCTGTTTGCCTGACCTTCCCACCTTCTATTTTTTTTTTTTAGGAAACTTATGATTGTATTGGACCCACCTAGGTAATTTCCCCATCTCAAGGTCTTTAACTGCAAAGCCCCTTTCACCATATAAGGTAACATTCACAGGTTCTAGGGATTAGGGACTATCTCCATAGCTTTGGAAGAACTGTTCAGTTTACCATACCTTCTTATGAAGGACTTCTCAAAGAAGAGAAAGGATCTGAGGTGTCATGAACATAACATGAAACTTTGAGCAAAGAGACTTGACTCCAGTCTTGAATTTGACACTACATTGATTGTTAGACTACAAATTAAGCACCTCACTTCTCAGATAGAATTGTATAATTGGGTCTTTGAATTAATTCACTAATATTCCTCCAAGCTATAAAATTGCATAACTTGATAAATTATTTATATTAAAATATAAGTGACTTGAAGCAATTTCACTGTGGATTAGTCTTTTCTTCAAAGGATTGACTTTATTCTGAAAATAATAGTTCATCAAATTTGATGTAAGAAGTATTTTCTTTAATCAAAGAAACATTCAGACCTACTGGAATTAAACCACATAGGCAACCAAGTTTCTTCTTCAATATTAAGGTCTGTTCAACTTGAGGCCGGTCACATACATGAATATACAGACCAAAGTTTTTCAAAGTATGGTCCATGGATCTCTGAAATTGAATAATCTAGGACACTAATTTATTAAAAATGGACATTTCTGAGCCCCAGTTCAGTGTGTTATAAGGGCCAATGGCATATAGTAATTGACTCAGAGTGAATCATATGAACAAAAAGTTTGAGAATCATTAAAAAATAAACATTTTTAGTACAACTTATAGCATGATAAAAAATAATAAATTGTTAGACTAAAAAAGGTTATTTCACTCCCTTTCCCACTTCTGTATTTATTTTGCAGATAAGAAAACTGGGGCTTAGAGGAGTGAAATTTCTTGCCCAAGTCCAAGAACAACTTAAGGCAGAGTTAAGACTACAAATCAAGTCTCCTGACTTCACATTTAGGGCTCACTGACAGTTGAGCTATTTAAGTTTTTCTTTGGGAAAAATAATTTTTTGACCAGATTACAGTATTTTTCTGTCGACATAGTAGCCCCTACTTTTCAAATGATACCTAGTCAAAAGGACTGTCTATAGAATGACTCACCACATATGCCATCATTTTGTAACTGACTTCTATCATTGATGTTAGGTCCACAAATGAAGTTTCTTTTGAATAGCATATTTAAAGAAAATTTGATTTATAAAATATTAAAATCAATATTCAATAAGTCATTAAATATATTTATGCTCTAAAATGTAAACTATCATTCTTAAAATATGCTCCATTGTATTAACTGTATAGCAATATGAGATGCCCTATGTATTACTTCACAAATTACAATCTATTATTTTATGTTTGTTCCTAATTTAAACTTCACTATAAATCACAATATTATGGACCATAAATAAATGATCTACAAGCAGTGGATGAAAATAGAGTAAAAAGAAATGAGACATCTCAGAACATAAATTTGACTTTTTGAACCATGTGAATATTTTACTTATTCCAAAAGGAAAATTGAATTTAAGAGGATGGGGAAAACCACTAAAATTAAATTGTTTTTAAATATTAGCAAACTGGATCCAGTAATACATTAAAAAAGACTATACACTGTGATCAGGTAGGATTTATTCTGGGGATGCAAAGTTGGTACAATATTCATAAGTCAACAAGCATCATACACCAAATAAACAAAAAAAAAAAACCACATGATCATATCAATAGATGGAGAAAAAGCATTTGATAAAATTCAGCACCATTTATGACAGAAACCCTCAGCAAAGTGGAAATAGAAGGAGCATACCTAAACATAACATAGACTATATATGACAAACCCACTGCCAGCCTCATACTCAATGGGCAAAAACTGCAAGCTTTTCCCTTAAGATCAGAAACAAGACAGGGATGCCTGCTTTCACCTTTCTTATTCAACATAGTACTGGAATCCACAGCAATCAGACAAGAAGAAGAAATAAGAGCCATCAAAACTGGAAAAGAAGAACTGTGATTTGCAGATGACATGATACTGTATATAGAGAGGCCTAACGATTCTACCAAAAACCTCCCCACTAGAATTGATAAATGAATTCAGTAAAGTAGCAGCATACAAAATAGATACCCAAAATCAGTTGCACTTTTATAGAAATGATAAATTATCAGAAAGGGAAACTAAGAAAACAATCCAATTCATAATTGCTTCAAAAAGAATAAAATACTTAGGAATTAATTTAACCAAGAATGTAAAAGCCCTGTACTTGGAAAATTATAAGACATTAAAGAAATAAACTGAAGAATATACAAATAAATAAAAGCATATAGTGTGTTCATGGATAAGAAGAATTAAAATGTCCATACTACCCAAAGCAATCAATAGAGTCAATGTAATTTCTATCAAGACACCAATGGTTTTTTCCACAGAACTAGAAGAAATATTCCAAAAATATATATATGGAACTGAAAAAGACTCAGAATGGACTCAGCAATCTTGAGCAAGAACAAAGTTGGAGGAATCCCACTACCTGATAGCAAACTATACTACAAGACCATAGTAATCAAAACAGCATTGTACTGGCATAAGAACAGACAAATAGATAAATGAAACATGATAGAGAGCCCAGAAATAAACCCACACATTTATAGTCAGTAATTTTGACAAAGGAGGCAAAAACACATGATAGGGTAAAGATAGTCTATTCAATAAATGGTGTTGGGAATATTGGATGGATCCATGCGAATAAAAGAAACTAGACTACACTCTTACACCATACACAAGAATAAACTCAAAATGGATTAAAGATTTAAATGTTAGACTTGAAATCATAAAAGTCCCAGAAGAAAACATAGCCAGGAAAAACTCAGATGTTTCTCATAGCAACATTTTTTCTAATATATCTCCTCAGGCAAGGGAAACAAAACAAGAAAAATAAACAAATGAGACTACCTCAAACTAAAAAGTTTTTGTACAACAAAGGAAATCACCAGCAAAAAGAAAAGACAACCCACTGAGTGGGAGAAAGGATTCATCGGATTCATCTGATAATGGGTTAATACCCCAAATGTATAAAGAACTTAAAAACTCAACCCCAAAAAACATATAATTCAATTTTAAAAAATGGGCAAAAGACCTGAGTAGACATTTCTCCAAAGAGGACATGCAGATGGCCAATAGATGTATGAAACGATGCTTAATGTCACTCATCATCAGAGAAATGCGAATTGCAAACATAATGAGATATCACCTCACACCTGACAGAATGGTGCTCAGCAATAAATCAACAAATGACAAGTGCTGGTGAGGATGTGGAGAAAGGGGGACCATCATGCACTTTGGTGGGAATGCAGACTGGTGCAGCCACTGTGGAAAGAAGTATGGAGTTGCCTCAAAAAATTAAAAATGAAACTGCCTTAAGACACAATGGTTCCACTTTCGGGAATTTATGTGAAGAAACCTGAAACACTTATTTGAAAGATATAAGCACCCCTACGTTCATTACAGCATTATTTACAATAGACAAGATTTGGAAGCAGCCCAAGTGTCCATCAGTAGATGAGTAGATAAAACAACTATGGGACATTTACACAATGGAATACTACTTGGCCATAAAAGGAAGGAAAATTTTACCCTTTGGCACAGCATGGATGGATCTGGAGAAGATTATGTTAAGTGAAATAAGTCAGTCAGAGAAAGACAAATACCATATGATTTCACTCATATGTGGAATTTAATGAGCAAAATGAACTAACAGCAAAATACTGACAGACTCAGAGAGCTGGCTGACAGCTCTCAGTGAGGGAAGTAGAGGTATTGAGCAAAAAAGAAAAAAAAGAGAAAGAACTTCTGGACAGGGACAACAGTGGGGCTTGCCAGCATGGCGGGTAAGAGTGGAAAGAAGTAGAGTAGAGTATAGGAGTGTAAGCAGTGATGGATGGAAACTTGAGATGGTGCACACACGTGCAGTTTACAGATGATGTGTTGTAGAATTGTGCACCCAAAACCTGTATAGTTCTGTTAACCAGTATTATACCAATAAATTCAATAAAAAGAGAAAAAAAATAAATGCATATCAACTTTATAACAACAAATAAGGGAAAACAGTCCAAATAACTTTTATATGTGGTTCTCTGACTTTATCCCTTTGGTGAGATATATTCTAAGAGCAAAATTATTTCCAACAATATGTTAATTTTGTAAATTTGTTGGAAGTGGTATGGGTGTGGTATTGTTGAATTTTGTGTATTACAAGATTACTCGAACTAAATACAATATTCTTGGAAACCAGTGTTCTCACTGTGGATAAGAATAAAATATAAAATGAGAAAAGAGAGGAGGAAGTCCCTCCTTGGATGTATCAGTACATTTGAATATTGCGTGTGTGTGTGGGTATGTGTGTGTGTATGTGTATGTGTGTGTGTGTTGTGCTCCTAAAGGGCCCGGAAGCAATGTGCG